TAATGGAGGTCAATTAGTCTCGACTCATCCCTTATGGGTATAATTGGAGATCAATTAGTCCCCAACTCATCTCTAACGGGTACTATTAACGATTTAATGATATGTACGCACTTAGTCAATGAAATTTCATGTGCGGCGTTGGCACACAGATAGAGTATTCGCCTAACAAAACTGAGCAACCCGGTTCGAATCTCAGCTGGCGCAAATTTTTATTTTTATTTTTTAAAAGTGACTAGTCGCTTTTTATACCCTTTCGGGTATAAAGGTGAACAATTGGTCTCTTCATAGGACATGCTCGAACAAAAGCGATCAGTTCATTCCATATAAAGAGATCAAAAGTGGTATTAGTCGCATGCTCCTTTGCGATTGCTCCCGGAGTCAACCCGGATTAGTCCCATTTTTTGCAGGGTGTATATATGCACATATCTAGTACAAACGAAAACAAATCTAATATGCTGCGAGCTGTACTGATTGTCAAAAATTATGTGTTTGTTGTACATTTGTTCATGTTTGTCATTGTGCGTGTAATTTTCTAGAGTAGTTTTGTGCTCTCGCTATCTCCTTGTATTAACTCGTTCTTCTCTGATGAACATATGTGAGGATGATAGCGAGGCCAACTTATTTATATAAGGTAGTGTTACAGGAGCAGTTGAAATTTTCGTAAAAATGAGATTTTACAATGAGACTGCTCGCAAAATTTCAATGTTTGTGGGCAAAAGGTCCAACTTGATTGCGGATTGATTTGAACCAACGCTTTCGGCTTGCATTATGTCAAAAAGATGTGTTTGTTGTAATTCATTCTGTCATTTACTACCATTATGCGTAAGCCAATTCATGAAATCATTTCATGCGTTTGAGTAGAAACTGAATGAATGAACACCATTTCATGATTTCAATTAACGCGAAATAGAGTTTATGCACTTAGTTTTTACTCAGATCGATGAAATGATTTCGTGAATTGGGCTACGCATACATGTGATACTTATGCTTTTAATTTATAAGGTAATTTTATGTTTTTATACTCTTGCTACCACATGAATATATGAATTCGCCTTGGAAGATAGAAATCGAGTAAGAATAAATGCCGAACAAAGGAATTTGTCTTCTTTCAACTTAAAAAAATGCATTTTGCAAACAAAAGTGCGAACGTTACTTAGTGCCTTGGTAATGGCGAATTCGTAAGGATGTATTGATTGCATTATAAACATTTTCATTTATTTGTTAAACATACAATTACTTCCATTACAACCCGGTCCTATGGATGCTAGAAGCGCGAATTCATATAAGGTGGTATTACCGGAAAATGAATAAATAAATTATATGTATATCAGAAAATTAATAAGATGAAATAAAATTATTGTTTGATTTCTAACCAAACCTATGTATGTAACTCAATCGCCTAATGGTTTGCCGAAGCGTAAACATATGTTTACACATCCAATTTCGTGAGTAGGTACCTGGTACTCACACCTTTTTTAAGAAGTTTCACTTCTATCATGGGTACGGTGATACACACGCATTTTTGTTTAATGCAATATGAAAGTCTGTTAAGACCTGGTGCTTTCCCCTTAGAGTTGGCAAATGCATCCTTAAACTCGTCAATAAGAACATACGATTCTAAGTATTTAGCTGAAATGCTTCGTTTCCCAAGTGGCTCAAATTTAATGACGATGTTCTTTTTCGCTTTGAACTAGCACGAGAAATGGGAGTTGTTTGAGTAGTATTTAAAAAGTTAATTCTATATACTTATTTCTAAAAGGCATTTTTCTGTTACCAAACTATGTATATCACCTTTAATATTTTATCAAATTTAATGAAGGGGAGAAGCTCATGTACATGGGAAAAATAGTCAAGTTGTTCAAATTTAGTTATTTATTAAAAAAACGTGGTTTAAAAAGCTGAAAGCACTGTATGCCGTTAACAAAGCTCCATAATACTTCATCAAATTGAATGGTTGAAACACCATTTTGGAGGAAGGCTTCACTGCTTGAGGTAAATATAAAAACTTTTTAATAGGGTTGCCCCTGCTTAAAATATGTCGAGTAAAATATTGCAACGCGTTCAGGGAATGAAAGGCATTTAAATGCACTCATAACCAGAATTAATAATTTTGAAGAGGGTTGCCAACTATTTAAAAATTTATATCTATATATATGTATAAAACAAAGTTGCTTACGTAATACCGAGCATGGCTAGAGAATAGATTGTCCTGTGAGCTGTCCTTTTGTTGTGTTTGTCTCTTACCAAGGAAAATTTTAAAAAATTTCCGATTTGAAAATTGCGGAAAAATTAATTTCCCATAGATTTTATACTCGACATTTTTTTATTTACTCAATTTTGATCGTAATACATATTACAATTAAAATGGTTGCCCAGGTTCAAAATAATATCAATGCTAAACAATTATGCTGGCTAGGTTAGATTAGATTGCAAATTATTACCGGTTCCATTTACAGGTGCCGGTTTTGAAAAATATATGATGAAATTTTGTTTAAAAAAACAAAATCAGCCTTATCATGAGTTTCATTTTCCTCGCACCGGTTCACTTTTCACTTTTCGTCGAGGCTGAATGACAGCTCTGATATCAAAATAGATTAGTGTTGTGCGAATTTCGTCACGGACATAACGATTTGGTTAGGTAATTCAAAAGGGTTATGGAAGTTATGTATGCCTGCCTTCTGACGACCACAAAACCATAATCAGAGCAGATAAATGTACCACTCGAATTCATAAAGTGAGTAATTGATGAAAGTGTTGTACCAAAATGTTCCAACAAAAAATTAATTTTAGGCGAGACGAAGTTCGCCGGGTACGCTAGTGATAATTTATTTCCGAAGACCTGATAGACGTGTCACATCCTCCGAATTTTATACAAGTAATTTTATAGTTGATTGCAGAAGAGAATTCTTTAAACGCAGCACGTTGCGCTTTTTTAGCTTAGTATTTGAGAAGGTTGTTGCTGCGCTTGTAAATTAAAATACATATCTGTGAAGCTCCGTGTACCTTCATATTTGTGCCAATTTTGTTATTTTAGAATTTCAGTTTACAAGTTTTTGATAGCCATTGGTTTTTCTTAATATAAGAGCATAAATATGTCACCACAATGATTTTAAGTTAAGCGTAATTAGTTTTTTTTTTTATTCATTTCCGCATTTTATTGTATTATTTAGAAAAAAAGCACACCAAATAATTTCGTCATACGAAAATTTAACAAGCTAATTCCATTTCTTGCTCGATGTACATAAATACATTTCAAAGTCACTGTAAACCAGTAATGATCAAATAGAGCTCTTATCTTCGCCTGCCCATATAAATTCCATAGAATCTAATTAAAAACAGTCATGTGAAAAATATTAATGTTTTATCCTCATTAGCATAGAAACCCGATTTAATATTCACTTAATTGTTTCTTTTCTTTTTTTACAGCAACATCAGCCTTGCACATGTCAAATAATAAACTAAGTATTGATGCTTTGAACACCACAGTCGTGGAAACAGTTGGCTCAACTTTATCCTTATCTTCTGCGTCCATGGGAGCTGACACCGCAGCAACAGCGGAAACGACGTTCACACTATCGCCGCTGTCCAGGAACTCGCACAAAACGTCCAAACCTGTGAATGGCCGAATCATTAGTGCGATAGACGCAGTTGGAGACTACACCGGTGCGATGGTTAGCACGAGCACAAGTTATATGCCCAGTGGTTCGTCCTCAACAACAAGATTGAATACGTTCACAACCACCAGTAAGCTGCCATTTGATTATGCGCTTACAAAGAAATGGGCCGGCTCAGGTAAGTCGGGAACATCATAAAAATAAATTATTTTAAAATAAACTTTTAAACACGAACTTAACTTCTAAGTTGTAATTAAAAATCAGATTAGCCATACACAATTCCTTTATGGAGACTCAAAAAATACAAATTATTATTTTTTTCTAATAGCCAAAATCGACACTACTGTAGTCGAAGATATCACACTTAAATTTTGGTCCCGATTGGAGTCGGTAAAGGCGCGTCGCACAGGGGCCAGAGTTCAGTTTACCCTAGGAAGACTCAATAAAGTAAAATTAAAAAAATAATTAAACTTTTTTTTTAAGTATCCAGCTCTGAAAAAAAATCACAAGAATTATTTTTCATTATTTCTGTTGCTTAAAAAAGCACTTTGCTTCTGCTGCAAGGTGCATTAAACAAGGTGTGATGACAACTCAGGTCGGCTCTCTTTTAAGGTACTATTACCCTGCCAGCAATTGGAAAAGAATTTTATCGCCTATCGTCCGGATGTCACTTCTTCGTCACTATTGGAAGTTATCAAAGCGCTAGTAACTCATTTCACAAAAACAAAAAACGTTTCTGTCGCTTTCTATCTTCTTAAGAGGTGCTCTGGCGATTTTTACTCTTTGAAGTTTTCAAAATTAACAAGGCAAATCTTGATCAATCAAGTAAAATTATATTCAAGGCATATTTAATAAGGTAGAAGTGACAACTAGCTCGAACTCTCTTGTAGCTCTTGTAGTTATAATGTCAAAAAACTGTAAACAAACAAATTAACCCTATGAGTTGCGAGTGCTATGTTTGCTACAAATTAGTATCAATTGAAATTCAACATGGTGAAATTATACCAGGTGTAGTAATAAGACCGAGATGAAAGATTTGACCCTATCTTGTTTGAAAATTTGCCTTTAAAAATTTTTATAAGATAACCGAATGTCAGGAAAATAAAGCGAGAACGCTTTTTTACTACTTCACCTGTTTATAATTTCACCATGGAAATGCATCAGCATAAATACATACATATGTATATACTTATACTAATTTTAAGAATTACTTCAATATTACCTTCAAAGAATTTTAGCTGCATTCGCATCTTGTATGCACAAATACATACCTACATATGGGCAGAAAAGAATACCTCATAAAGGAAACCACGTAATTAAAGAAATGTTTTATGAAACTGTTTTAAAAATTTTTTTGTTTCTATTCGCCCAATGTTTTTGCGCGTTTAGTTTCTTATTTAAATATTTACTTCTAAAAAACATCCGAACTTATAAAAAACGATTTAGTGTTTTCTTCTACATACGTATGTATATCAGTGTAAATCTAGGTGCTAACGTGGTTATGTGTGCATAATTTTGTAAGAAACTACCCTGCAGTGAAACCCCAAACTAGTCAGGAAAAACACTAGTTTACAACTAGAATTTTCTGACTGAAACCGAACTAGNGCTTGCATTATGTCAAAAAGATGTGTTTGTTGTAATTCATTCTGTCATTTACTACCATTATGCGTAAGCCAATTCATGAAATCATTTCATGCGTTTGAGTAGAAACTGAATGAATGAACACCATTTCATGATTTCAATTAACGCGAAATAGAGTTTATGCACTTAGTTTTTACTCAGATCGATGAAATGATTTCGTGAATTGGGCTACGCATACATGTGATACTTATGCTTTTAATTTATAAGGTAATTTTATGTTTTTATACTCTTGCTACCACATGAATATATGAATTCGCCTTGGAAGATAGAAATCGAGTAAGAATAAATGCCGAACAAAGGAATTTGTCTTCTTTCAACTTAAAAAAATGCATTTTGCAAACAAAAGTGCGAACGTTACTTAGTGCCTTGGTAATGGCGAATTCGTAAGGATGTATTGATTGCATTATAAACATTTTCATTTATTTGTTAAACATACAATTACTTCCATTACAACCCGGTCCTATGGATGCTAGAAGCGCGAATTCATATAAGGTGGTATTACCGGAAAATGAATAAATAAATTATATGTATATCAGAAAATTAATAAGATGAAATAAAATTATTGTTTGATTTCTAACCAAACCTATGTATGTAACTCAATCGCCTAATGGTTTGCCGAAGCGTAAACATATGTTTACACATCCAATTTCGTGAGTAGGTACCTGGTACTCACACCTTTTTTAAGAAGTTTCACTTCTATCATGGGTACGGTGATACACACGCATTTTTGTTTAATGCAATATGAAAGTCTGTTAAGACCTGGTGCTTTCCCCTTAGAGTTGGCAAATGCATCCTTAAACTCGTCAATAAGAACATACGATTCTAAGTATTTAGCTGAAATGCTTCGTTTCCCAAGTGGCTCAAATTTAATGACGATGTTCTTTTTCGCTTTGAACTAGCACGAGAAATGGGAGTTGTTTGAGTAGTATTTAAAAAGTTAATTCTATATACTTATTTCTAAAAGGCATTTTTCTGTTACCAAACTATGTATATCACCTTTAATATTTTATCAAATTTAATGAAGGGGAGAAGCTCATGTACATGGGAAAAATAGTCAAGTTGTTCAAATTTAGTTATTTATTAAAAAAACGTGGTTTAAAAAGCTGAAAGCACTGTATGCCGTTAACAAAGCTCCATAATACTTCATCAAATTGAATGGTTGAAACACCATTTTGGAGGAAGGCTTCACTGCTTGAGGTAAATATAAAAACTTTTTAATAGGGTTGCCCCTGCTTAAAATATGTCGAGTAAAATATTGCAACGCGTTCAGGGAATGAAAGGCATTTAAATGCACTCATAACCAGAATTAATAATTTTGAAGAGGGTTGCCAACTATTTAAAAATTTATATCTATATATATGTATAAAACAAAGTTGCTTACGTAATACCGAGCATGGCTAGAGAATAGATTGTCCTGTGAGCTGTCCTTTTGTTGTGTTTGTCTCTTACCAAGGAAAATTTTAAAAAATTTCCGATTTGAAAATTGCGGAAAAATTAATTTCCCATAGATTTTATACTCGACATTTTTTTATTTACTCAATTTTGATCGTAATACATATTACAATTAAAATGGTTGCCCAGGTTCAAAATAATATCAATGCTAAACAATTATGCTGGCTAGGTTAGATAAGATTGCAAATTATTACCGGTTCCATTTACAGGTGCCGGTTTTGAAAAATATATGATGAAATTTTGTTTAAAAAAACAAAATCAGCCTTATCATGAGTTTCATTTTCCTCGCACCGGTTCACTTTTCACTTTTCGTCGAGGCTGAATGACAGCTCTGATATCAAAATAGATTAGTGTTGTGCGAATTTCGTCACGGACATAACGATTTGGTTAGGTAATTCAAAAGGGTTATGGAAGTTATGTATGCCTTCTGACGACCACAAAACCATAATCAGAGCAGATAAATGTACCACTCGAATTCATAAAGTGAGTAATTGATGAAAGTGTTGTACCAAAATGTTCCAACAAAAAATTAATTTTAGGCGAGACGAAGTTCGCCGGGTACGCTAGTGATAATTTATTTCCGAAGACCTGATAGACGTGTCACATCCTCCGAATTTTATACAAGTAATTTTATAGTTGATTGCAGAAGAGAATTCTTTAAACGCAGCACGTTGCGCTTTTTTAGCTTAGTATTTGAGAAGGTTGTTGCTGCGCTTGTAAATTAAAATACATATCTGTGAAGCTCCGTGTACCTTCATATTTGTGCCAATTTTGTTATTTTAGAATTTCAGTTTACAAGTTTTTGATAGCCATTGGTTTTTCTTAATATAAGAGCATAAATATGTCACCACAATGATTTTAAGTTAAGCGTAATTAGTTTTTTTTTTTATTCATTTCCGCATTTTATTGTATTATTTAGAAAAAAAGCACACCAAATAATTTCGTCATACGAAAATTTAACAAGCTAATTCCATTTCTTGCTCGATGTACATAAATACATTTCAAAGTCACTGTAAACCAGTAATGATCAAATAGAGCTCTTATCTTCGCCTGCCCATATAAATTCCATAGAATCTAATTAAAAACAGTCATGTGAAAAATATTAATGTTTTATCCTCATTAGCATAGAAACCCGATTTAATATTCACTTAATTGTTTCTTTTCTTTTTTTACAGCAACATCAGCCTTGCACATGTCAAATAATAAACTAAGTATTGATGCTTTGAACACCACAGTCGTGGAAACAGTTGGCTCAACTTTATCCTTATCTTCTGCGTCCATGGGAGCTGACACCGCAGCAACAGCGGAAACGACGTTCACACTATCGCCGCTGTCCAGGAACTCGCACAAAACGTCCAAACCTGTGAATGGCCGAATCATTAGTGCGATAGACGCAGTTGGAGACTACACCGGTGCGATGGTTAGCACGAGCACAAGTTATATGCCCAGTGGTTCGTCCTCAACAACAAGATTGAATACGTTCACAACCACCAGTAAGCTGCCATTTGATTATGCGCTTACAAAGAAATGGGCCGGCTCAGGTAAGTCGGGAACATCATAAAAATAAATTATTTTAAAATAAACTTTTAAACACGAACTTAACTTCTAAGTTGTAATTAAAAATCAGATTAGCCATACACAATTCCTTTATGGAGACTCAAAAAATACAAATTATTATTTTTTTCTAATAGCCAAAATCGACACTACTGTAGTCGAAGATATCACACTTAAATTTTGGTCCCGATTGGAGTCGGTAAAGGCGCGTCGCACAGGGGCCAGAGTTCAGTTTACCCTAGGAAGACTCAATAAAGTAAAATTAAAAAAATAATTAAACTTTTTTTTTAAGTATCCAGCTCTGAAAAAAAATCACAAGAATTATTTTTCATTATTTCTGTTGCTTAAAAAAGCACTTTGCTTCTGCTGCAAGGTGCATTAAACAAGGTGTGATGACAACTCAGGTCGGCTCTCTTTTAAGGTACTATTACCCTGCCAGCAATTGGAAAAGAATTTTATCGCCTATCGTCCGGATGTCACTTCTTCGTCACTATTGGAAGTTATCAAAGCGCTAGTAACTCATTTCACAAAAACAAAAAACGTTTCTGTCGCTTTCTATCTTCTTAAGAGGTGCTCTGGCGATTTTTACTCTTTGAAGTTTTCAAAATTAACAAGGCAAATCTTGATCAATCAAGTAAAATTATATTCAAGGCATATTTAATAAGGTAGAAGTGACAACTAGCTCGAACTCTCTTGTAGCTCTTGTAGTTATAATGTCAAAAAACTGTAAACAAACAAATTAACCCTATGAGTTGCGAGTGCTATGTTTGCTACAAATTAGTATCAATTGAAATTCAACATGGTGAAATTATACCAGGTGTAGTAATAAGACCGAGATGAAAGATTTGACCCTATCTTGTTTGAAAATTTGCCTTTAAAAATTTTTATAAGATAACCGAATGTCAGGAAAATAAAGCGAGAACGCTTTTTTACTACTTCACCTGTTTATAATTTCACCATGGAAATGCATCAGCATAAATACATACATATGTATATACTTATACTAATTTTAAGAATTACTTCAATATTACCTTCAAAGAATTTTAGCTGCATTCGCATCTTGTATGCACAAATACATACCTACATATGGGCAGAAAAGAATACCTCATAAAGGAAACCACGTAATTAAAGAAATGTTTTATGAAACTGTTTTAAAAATTTTTTTGTTTCTATTCGCCCAATGTTTTTGCGCGTTTAGTTTCTTATTTAAATATTTACTTCTAAAAAACATCCGAACTTATAAAAAACGATTTAGTGTTTTCTTCTACATACGTATGTATATCAGTGTAAATCTAGGTGCTAACGTGGTTATGTGTGCATAATTTTGTAAGAAACTACCCTGCAGTGAAACCCCAAACTAGTCAGGAAAAACACTAGTTTACAACTAGAATTTTCTGACTGAAACCGAACTAGTTCGAAAATGACCAGACTTGTACCAAGTACAAAACGATTCATTCGTGCCCGGTTTTATTTTACTTCGACATTTTAAAACAATAAAGTATGTACACAAAATATTATAACTTTTATTTGGGTATATTGTAAACCATTAAAGCGAGTACATATTCAATTATACCAAATCTGTTAAATAATGATTAATAATCATAATGATAACCAATATTTTTAAAAAAGATAAAAGATATAGTATTTATTGTACCTGAAAGCTTGTACTTTTAATAACATATAATGAAAAATGCATTTAAATTTATGTTCGAAAGTTTGAAATATTTATGTATTTATTTTTCCTTTTAATTAATACTCAAAATATTTAACACTAGTTCAAATCTAAGGCTGCTAAATAAAAATGTGTAATATATTAAAGTGTACTTAAACAAACGTTTTTATTGTATATCCATGAATTTATTCTATTGTTTGACTCCCAAAGTAGTGTTTTCGGTCCATAATTGGTCTAGTATTTTTCTGTATCTTTTGAACTAATGTGAGACTGGTATATTTTTGACCGAAATCTGACAATTGCCATCTCGTAGGACATCGCCATGTTAAAAATACCATTTGATTGCATGGAAAAAAGATAGTTGCCTGACTAGTTGGGCATGCGGTTCATACTAGTTGTGAGGTAGTTTACAACTGGTACATTTGACTACAGGGTACTCTTACTTAGTTCTGAACTTTCGTGTGCTTCAGGCATTTCAGGCATAGGAACCTCCCAGGCATGGGAACTGCAAGCGCTTAAAAATTTGGGCATGTAATAAAAGGTTCTTTCCCGTACGCAACGCGTGATCCCGCGGGTGCCCAAAACAGCCCATAAATCGTTCCCGTACTCAACAAAATGGGTAATAGAGAGCGGAAATTAGAACGTATTGGATCGTAAGTGTCTTCTTCTTCCTGCCCGAAACAGCCCGGACTCTTTCTCCGGGTAAAAATTGATAAACTGTCAAAGTGCATATCAGCTGTGTTTACCTGTTGCCTGTATTTACTTGTTGCTTTTAAGGAATAGTGAATGGCCTGTTGATTTATTTTCAATCTTTATATACTTAAAATCAAATTTGTGAAACCAAAATTCAATGTCCAAGAGTTTGCATTTAAGTGACAAAAACAAAAACAACGTGAATCAGCTGTATCTCAAATTCTGGGCACGAAATGTGGTTTTTTGCGTTCCCGTACTTCTGGATTATGTTCCATTTTTGAGAGCAAACTTTTTGCTTATTCTCTAATTACCGGCTTCGGTCCGGATTGTTAGGGAAAGAACCTAAAATCACTCGCGTTGAAATGATTTCCACAGAACTGCAGCTGTTCTCCCAACGAAGTCTCCTAACTTCGCAACTAGGCGCCTTAAACTATAGCACCACTTTAACGTATTGGCTATTGCCACACACAATGCAACGCTCGTAGTTCCTGCTCTTTTTCATTTTTGTATATGTATGAATCTATAAAAGCACGTGGTCGAAAAACAAAAAATTCATACAATTCAAAACTATATCAAAGCACGCAATTGAATTTTTAATGAAAATTAAAAAATGCCAACTTGGAAAGGGTTAAAAGTTATTCATCATTTGACATTATAGTCGGTGTTCAAAAGAGAGAAATGTCAAAATCACTTCTACCTTGTTTAATATGCCTTGATTATATTTTTGTTTTAAAATTAATTTTTTTTTCGTTAACGTGCAGGCAATCTTCTTCGAATAACTCTTAATAAAATTATGTTTAGATTTTAAACGGATGTGTTATTCGATTTATTGGGGCGTATTCTTGTTTTCGTACGAATCGAAAACCATGAAATTTTCCTATCATTTTTTATACAAAAATTTCAAAATTTCGATTCGTACGAAAACAAGAATATGCCTCATTATGTTAATGCCTTTTTACTGCTTTTAAAAACGTTTAGTTTAATTTCATAAAATATAAGTGCGTTTGAGCTAGCAATCTAAGCCGAAAGCAGGATAAAAATGGCGTAAGTAACTCTGCGGCTGTGGTTGCAAGCTCAGAGGTACCCCAAATTTCCTATTAAGTTTTATCAAAAGTTTAACCAACAGAAGAGTCTTCTTTAACACTTCAGTCTTTATCGCACAAGTTACTGTCATTCCTATCGAAATAGTTCCTAATTTCTGCATCGCATTCGTATCATAAAGACGTGACGTCTTGGTGGAACAGCTATTCCCGAGAGCGGATAAGAATTCGAAAAAATAGCGATATCATCGGCGATGATTTTCACAGAAATGTCGTGTCGTATTAGTAACTTCCGCAATCGAAAATGCTGGCAGGGTATGCCAAAAATATAAGCAAACGATTCAAAATTCATAAAAATTTTTTTTCAATTTAACTTTATAGGTTGGTTCTTCTGAGAGCAATGTCCCATTCAATCACACTTGTTTGAATACATTTTGTTCTGGTGTAAATTTTCTTTAAGAAATAAATATAGAAGCACTTTTTTCTTGAGAGCAGCAAACTGATTAGAGAATTTTCTATTTTTTTTTTTGTTTGTATGTTTTTATTTATTGAATCTTCTTTTTTCGAAATTAACAATAAGTTTTCAAATCTGAAAAGCTACCATTAAATTTAAAATTCCTGCGGCAATGCTTAGAAATTTTTTATTTTATATATATATATTAAACTCCTGCGCAATTCCATTTAAACGGCCTAACAAGACATCCGATCGCCGCGCAAATACTTTCCCTCCTTTACTCTCATCCACAATATAACCAGTAAACAACCTTCGGTGAATTTGGCGACTGCCTTCCTCGGGGATGAATATCCTAGGGATGAAATTATTGGTACACACGCCTTCCAAGCACGCAGGGTTGCTTTTAAGAAACAAAAAATAATTAACTCCAAATAGTTTCAAAAAGTATAGTGTAAAACGAAGTTTATTGAATAATTCCACATAAAATGGTATACATAATGTGACCAACAGCACTTCTTTCAGTACTCTTTTTGAGCCGTTGTACTTCGTACTTCGAAGTACAGTCAAATGTACTTCTTTGCAATATTTTGTACTCCCCAAGGCAAATTGAACAGGTAGTATCAGTAGAGCAGCTGATTTGATTTCTTTTTTTCAAATTATTCGGTCTCTAAAATGCCAAATATTTTTAATTTCTTCTCACAAAAAATATGGTACTCTTTGATTTAAAAGAAAAATATCAGAACAGTTTTTGACACTTTAGATAAGAGATGCAACAACAAAATACACATAAATGTTGCAAGTGGTTTTGATCACTTACATCTCGCAAAATAGTCTCTTATTGTACTTATCTTAGTCTTTGAGTCTCTAAATCGCAAAAGAAAACCGAAATAATTTCACATTTATCGAGAGTTTAAAACAGTTCGTCGGCAATGATTTTTTAAGTTATTTTTTGTTTTTAAATTAAATTGTTCAAAAATATTGTTCCCAGCATACCAGCGAAGTCCGCAGAGTGCACAATTAGGATTTCCTGTACGGTGCGCTGATGCTATTGGGGAGGCTGCGAAAAGAGTCCCAAAGGAGCATGCTCGCAGGAGAAAAGCGCATTCTCAATATAAATAAAAAAGTGTA